AAATTTTTGTAATTTCAAACAACCATGTTGTTGTTGCTCTTTTTATCATAGTTATTGAGAAAGCTTCTATAGCTGATCTTTAGAAATTTTATCAATGCATGTGAAATTTCTTTAAACAAAGAAATGGAAAATTAGGTCAATATTTTCAGTGCCCCAAATAAATTGTGGATTGTAGATGCATTTTTCGTTTCAATTAAAAGTTACTTGAAGAAAAAAAAAATGTTACAAAGATGAAAAGAACAAAAAACGCAGATGAAAAATGTTACCTGGAAAAAAAAGGAAAACACTGTTTTCATGTGTCCCAAATCCATAATCGTTGTTTTGTTAGAGCAACAATCACCTCGGGTATGAAAAAAAGGTTAGGCTTGTTTCCATATGTTTTGTTTCTGTTTTTGTATTTGTTTTTTTAGTTGTGTTTGGGAAATTGTGACTAAAGGTTATTTTAACACTTGAAAATCGGTGAATTAGACTACATGTGTTTTATTCGTTATAATAAACATATTAACATATGCCATTCTTCATAAAAATGTTTTTTTCATGTATTTTGAATCATTCTTTCCTATTTTTCAGCCACTAAATGTGACCTGTGCTTAATTGACCTTATTTATAAGTACTGTGTTATTGTCCTTCCTACTTTTTTACTATTTTATTTTTACCCTCTTTAAGAATCTGTTCCAAGCGGAGAAAATCAGAGTGTGACAGGAGGTGACGAAGAAGCAGTAGATGAATACCAAGAGTTAAATGCAAGAGAAGAGCAGGATATTGAAATAATGATGGAAGGCTGTGAATATGCAATATCTAATGCTGAGGCCTTTGCAGAAAGGTTGTCCAGAGAGTTGCAGGTTCTGGATGGGGTAAGGCTTTCTTATAATCTATGATTAGTGATGTGCAGTGGATTGAGAAGACTGGAGATGTTCATATTTTACTGCCTCATAGTGTGATTACTGCTATCTTTATAAGTACATTACCTGCTGTTATGAGCCTTTCACTGTTCTTGATAAAAAGACAGAACCATTCTTATTTAGTCAGGCCAATGAAGGCAGTCGGCTGAGGTTCCAGATTTTGGGAGGTTCTTCATAGGAAGTGATGGAAATAAAAAGTAACCAACCAGAAACCAACTTGGGGATTAATACCCGCAGCCTCTGAAACATCTCAGAATAGTTCAATGCAAAAGAATAGCTTTTAGCTTTTGTGGTTTGAAAAAAAATAGGTACAAATTGAAAGGAGAGGAATTGGGTGAAATAAGTGAATTATTTTCCCAGAGGGAGCAGCGTAAGTGTGGTGAAAACAAGAGTCAAGGTAGAAAAGCATGTGTGACTCCCCTGCTAAGATGTTTTGGAATAGATCCTTTAATTTGTATGCACAGTTTCTGAGTCTGTATCTAAATGTACGTCTTTAGAAAGTAAAGAGCCAAAAGGAGCAGTACTTACATGAAAAAAATCTAAGATGAACATTTGGGATTTTTTGTTTACACAAGGTAAGCGTTTAGGAAAAACCCTCAGATAATAAAAATATTTTAAGACTTAAACAATTTTCGTGTTTTATACATGAAAGGTAGAGAAGTTATAAGGTTGGACTGAGGCCTAGAGATTACATGAATAGTCCAAGCTTACAAATTTACAAACTCACTGGAAGTAAAGCATAGAAGAAACTTTAAGATGTTGAAGTGGAAATTGTCCTGGATAAATTCAAGCCCTAACTCTGCTGCCTAAGAATGTCAGTGGTTCCAAGCCCTCCTGACTTTATAGTTGGGCTGCACTTACAGTTGAGCTATTATGAGTACTATATAAAATAACACGTGAAATTACAGCATCAGCTGTATGATAATATTCTTTTAATTCTTTGTCCAAGTTTTTTCCTCATATTATGTTACCTACCTTTTTAATGTTGCTTAGTGGTTTATATTTTCTTTTCTGACTAATATTGCATATATGTTCTAAGTCATTATATTGCTTTGCAGTTTAATTTTGGATTTGGCAGCTTCCATATTTCAGGGAATTTAGAATCAATAGACTCATTTAGAAAACAGTGGTAAGGGGATGGTAGTTGGTTACTGCTTTGCCTGGAGAAAAACATAGTTGCAAATGAAAGAGAAAAGAAGACCATAGACGGAGCTATCTTCTGGCCATATGCTCTTCTACATGTCCTGTTGATGCAAATCATACTGCAATTATAAATCAGTTTCATGTAACTTTCAAAGACTGGTACCACTGCTGCCCTTTTGACTAAGGTGTTACATAGGTGATTATGCTTTTATTTAGGGTTTGACATAAATGTTAAGAAGTATAGAAATTCCTATAGCTGGTAAAATTAGAAGAAATGTCAGAGGTGACGTAGGCGAATGCCCCCAATTTACAGAAATGAGAATACATCATTATTGATGATACATTGTGGGGCAGAACCGTACTTGTGCAATCTGTGGAAATAAAAAATAACTGAGGCCTGGTCCCTAACCTTGATATAGAGGCAAGTGTACCTTCTTAACATACTGTGTAAAAAGTGGAAGATAAACATAGAATGATAAATTAGATGTGTAGATGTATATACCAATCTTTGTTACTCTGCTGTTAGAGATTTGGCAGTATTTTATCCTTATACTTCTTTGCACATTTAAATAATATGAAGTGTTACTTTGTTTTTAACTTTGTAGGCCAACATCCAGTCAATCATGGCCTCTGAAAAGCAGGTGAACATCCTGATGAAATTACTGGATGAGGCTTTAAAGGAGGTGGATCAGATTGAATCAAAACTGAGCAGTTATGAGGAAATGCTCCAAAGTGTAAAAGAACAAATGGATCAGATCTCAGAAAGCAACCACCTCATTCATCTTAGTAACACTAATAATGTAAAACTCCTGTCCGAGATAGAGTTCCTTGTGGTAAGTGTGATTATAAGTTACCAATAATAAAAAAATGAAAAATCTAATGATAATATGTAAAACCCATTTGTAAACATTTTCTAATTTCCTTATGAGAGCAAGATTTAAAATAATTCCAAGACCTAGTGATAGGATTGTGTAGCCACTTACCTGTAAATTTCCCAAAATTTCAAGTGCAAATGGTGTATTTACATATATTCCAGAACCACATGGACTTGGCCAAAGGTCATATAAAGGCCCTTCAGGAAGGAGATCTTGCTTCTTCCAGAGGCATTGAGGCCTGTACCAATGCTGCCGATGCCCTTCTGCAGTGCATGAATGTGGCTCTTCGACCAGGTATGTTCATTGGAGATGATAAAGTTTGACCAAGAATTGGAGACGGCCTTTTGGGCTCCTTTTGCTCGGCCTGCTCCAAACTTTTTGGAGTGTATTTTCTGTTCTAATAATGGCCCTTGAGCCACTCTCAATAGCTCAGGCCGCTTCTGCTTCTTTGAAATGTACTTTTGCTTCAAATAAACTGTCCTTTTCTGCAACTTGAAAAGAAAAAGAAGAACTGGAGACTAAGCCTGTAACTTAGTATAACGCTTTTGACAAGCTGTACCTGGGGCAAGTCATTATTAGCTATTCAAACAAGTTTCACTTATTTCCAAACTTATTTCTGTTGGGACTAAGAACTTTTTCATTTCGGTGCCTTCTGATGGACCATTTGGTCACTCAAGTTAACCACGATTTTTCTTCATTATAGTCCACAGAACTTAGCACAAAGTAGATGCTTTGGTTAGACCAAGGAGTGTAAGATTTTGCTAGGCCGGTGGTTCTAAAGGTTGATTTTGCATCAGAATCACCAGGTAGGCTTGTTAAAATATAGATTGTAAGGCCCACACCCAGATTCAGGAGGCCTGGGCCGAGGCCTTAGAACCCATGTTTCTAGCAGTCCTCAGATGAGGCTGGGGGACGACCACACTGGGAGAACCACTGTGCTGTTCTGTTTTTTTCCCTTGCCTTTCTTTTATAAAGCAAACAAATAAACCAGTAAAACTTTGAGTTCTTCAAAACCGAAATACGGATACTGTCATAAATGTACTCATTAAACATCGGGAAATCTTTGTACCCATTAAAGCAGTGAAGAAATACTCTGATTTCAGGCCACGACATGCTCCTGGCAGTCAAACAACAGCAGCAGCGTTTCAGTGATTTGCGAGAGCATTTTGCCCGGAGACTGGCCAGTCACCTCAACAATGTTTTTGTTCAACAGGTAATTTTATTTTATTATTAATACTGGCATGTTCCTGCAGTTTATCAATTACCTTAAACTTAAATTCCCGCAAAAAAAATTTCAATGTATTTGATTGGGATCATAGCATATTTTTTCACACATTTATTTGATTTTAAGATTTTTAAATATGCACATATTTGCTCATAGATGTATTTTGGGCCTCAACTGCCCCCTTAGACAATCTAGCTCCTTTCAGCTAAAATTGTCTGATTCGAGAAATCATATAAGTAACTATGCTTACTTATTATATATACCATTTAGACTTTTGTATTTATAAAAATAAGTCTAAACTTGTTAAATGTTTACTGTTTGGCCTGTTTTATTTTTCAATATTTTGAGGTAAGAACGAGGAATTGATCCATTGTTTTAAATATTTCATTGACTCTGTGTACTTACATAGTGAGAAAAATGACAATAGTTCAATTGAGGATATAGTGCAAATCACAATATGCAATATAGTGTAAACCCTTTGTCTACATTTTTATGTGGAAAGGGATGTTATAATTAAGGTTGTGGCAATCATATTAATAATACTAAGACTTCCTTAGATCTTCAGATGGATTTGAATAGAAGGCATTTTAATATCTGGTATAGTAAATTAGGTTTCTTATGTTTTTCATCTCTATTTTATTAGGGTTATTGGGCAAAAAATAATGAGGGAAATTTTGTTCAATAGAAATGCTCTCTGAAACATTGGATTCTTATTTTGTTTTCACTGTGCAGTATTTTAAAACAATTGTATTTACTATATTTTATTTCTGATTAGTTTACTCAGGCCCTCCTTCAGCTCTATAACAGGTCCTACTTTCTTTCGGTGCCTGTGAGTACATCAAATTTGGCTCAAGCTTCTCTGATTCTTTTTTTTTTTTTTATATAAAGTTTGCTATACTTAACAGCAGCAGAATCTTTATAGATTGTAACTTACTGATTTAAGCTACCTGTTAACCATACTTGTAGCAGTTTTCTAATGTCCCATAGCGAAAGTTTATTTTGGCCAAAAAGGCATTTAATCTCATTCTGCTTGCCTTTCTTCTCATCATTCTTTCATTCACTCACTCGCTCACTCACTCACTCTTTCACTCCTTCATTTATCTAGAAGCTATTTGCCGGGTGATTGAGATGTATAGCAGACATTTACCTGGGATAGGTGAGCAGCTGATCAGCCTTGAGTAGCTTATAATCTAGGGAAGGGAGATAGATACTCAGGTAGGGTACATGTTATGGCAGTGGTACTACGGGAGCGTAAAAGAGCACTCACTAAGCATGTGGGGGAAATGCAGGGGGAAGACTCTTGTAACATTGCACTTGACTTGAAAAGGGTCAAGAAAAAAGTAAACCTAGAATTCACATAGGAAATACTAATTCACCTTTTTCTTACAGTATTGTTTCAATAATATCTATTTCTACACAGTTCTTTAATTGTTAAAAAGGACACCATTGACAGTGATATTATCCACATTTTGTAGATGGCATTGAAAATACCAGTCAATAAATAGTCCTTTCTGCACCTTAATTAATTGTTTGTTGTAACATGCAATTATTTATGATTTTGCTTCCTTGCCTTGTAAACTAATGGCTTTGTTTAAAATGAATGCTTCCCAGTTCTAAAAACTAATATGTATTGTTACATGTGAATGATGCATGTTTAAAACCAGAATGTTGCAATGCCCTGGGATGCGCCGAAAAGAAGGTGCAAGAGGATATCCCAAGTACAGAAAAGGGATTTTTCTATGTGTCGAATTCAGTGCATCAGGTCACCTAGCAAAAGAGTTGGGAAACATGGATATTTCTATTGCTTGTTGTGGTACAAACTAGCTGGGAATATTTGATTACCATATTGTGGTACATCTTTTTGTCAGTCACCAGATCTTCATTGTGCACCTGTTATGTACTTGCTGTCATCCATATGTAAGAATAAGAAATGACTCCCACCTTCAAGATGATTATAAAGAGGTTAATGTACTTAAAGCTGTACAGCAATGTATATATTAAATTGCTAATTGTATAACTGTATATACATAGTATACATATGTATAAGTGCTAATAGAAGTTTAATCAAAAGTGAATTTACTGAGGATCTAAGTTGTCAGGTATGGCATCACAGATGACACAAGACTTGAACAGAGTCCATACAATGCAGTTTATAGAAAATATATAAATATTATAATTACTGTACAGAAGAATCCTGTGTAAATAAGATATTGGTCACAACATAACAATAATTTAAGACCATTAATTCCCAGTCTTTTTAAAATTCACACATTAGTAATTAAAAGAAATAAAATTTGGAGACTGACCAAGTCACCCATTTTTTATTTTACCAAGCAAAAACCTTTAAAAAGAAATGCTGCCATCTACTTTCACAATCTTTTTATTTTGAAAATGACATTTTAGCACTAAAAGAAAAGGAAGAACATAATTTCAGACTTTCAAAATTAATACATTTACCTCTATGAGAAACTTACTGATGTAGGCCAGTAAAACATCTTCATATTTGGGAATCACTGTTCCAGGGGGTTCTATCTGTGATGCCGCTTTCATATCAATACTTCTACTTAGCTACATTTAGTGAAGCCTAAAATGCATTTTTATTTAATTTTCACTTCTTGTGTAATATACAATAAGAGTAATATTTTTCATAATTGGCTAGATTCTTTTGGTTCTTTTAGATCTTTTAGAACTTCCATTGAAATTATAGATTCTTAGCTATGATTTTTATATTTACTGGGGATTCATGTATCTAGTAAGGTATTCAGTTAAGAGAATAAGGCCAGTTACACTAATTAGGATTCTGATATTGAAATCAGGCAATCAAGTTAAGACTAATAAAATTGAGGAAATATTTGCATCAAGAATATGTCCTTTTTAAAATTCTTTTGGTTGTTTTTTGAAAGATGTGTCTCAAAAGGATGACCATTCTTTGCCCTCCCTTTTCCCCCTTGGTTCTCTGTAGAGACCTCAGGATTCTGTACTTTGCCTTTGGCAACATGATGAGACTGATTATGTGCTGAACTTAAAAGTACAACTGAAAGAACCAGAAGTTGCAGGGATTTTTGTTAACATGCTTCACTTTGGAAAATTTTCTTTTAACATGTATTCATACAAACATCATATATTAAAATAAAACCTGTGTAATAGACCATTATTTAGTTCATGTCATAAAAATTGTTTCCTTAAGCACATTTCACAATTTACTAAACATAGGTTGATGATTTGTGATTAAAAGCTTAGAAAAAAAGTATGATTATTTAAGATCAGTTTTCATGGTGTTTGTTGGAATTTTGCTCAGATTTTCTTTTTTCTTTAAAAAAATAAAATTAAACATGCTGTAACATAGAAACAGTTCCCAAATCTTGAAAATTTATTCAACATTTCACATGCAAGTATTCTTTCTGTTAGACAGTATAGCAAAGTATTTAAGAGTTTGGACACTGAAGCCAAACTGCCTAGATTTGAAATCCTGACTCTGCTACCTCCTAGCTGGGTGACCTTGGGCAAGTTAATTACCTCTTTACGCCACCTTAGTTGCCTTATCTAAATAATGGGGGTAATAAAAATATCTACCTCATAGGGTAGTTACAAGGATTAATATAATAAATGTTCAGCACTTAGAACAGTGCTCGGTTATAGTAAAATGTTCCAATATTAGCTAGTTTTATTATAAGTTCTAGTAATATGTACACTAATAAAAATCTATAATTCACTAAGTTTTGGGGAAATGCATTTGTCTTAGATTAATTGGGACAAAATCTATTAATTTTAAATTATTTTAATAAAATTTTGCTATTTTCTTAAATGAGGAAAAAAGAATTCTGCAAGGTTATTGTGAAGATTATTATATATATATATAATATATATTGGGTTGTTGGAAAAGTCATGACGTATTTTTCTGTTTTTTGTTGCAAAAATGAGTCATGACTTTTCCGACAACCGGATATATGAAGTTCCTAGCAAATTGGTAGTGGGCAGTAAATTGTTATTGTTACTACTTTATTATTATTTATAGTAAGAAACTTTAAACAATGTCTTAATTTTAAAAATATGTAAAGAATAAAATTCTTTGCACATTAGAGTTCTAGGTGTGATAATTATATTATTAATTAAACAATTTAAGTATTTCATTTTTCTGTTTTCTGTAGTTATTGTGGAACCGTTTTCTCTAAAATTAAATCTTTTTGTTAACGTTAATAACATTTAATATGTCTTAATAGTAATGGTTTGAAGGTAAGGATGTTCTTCATATTAGAAGTGAATTTTTCAGGTGATGGTGATCTTAAAAGACTGTTTGCAGAAGAAAGATTTGAATAGTAATATATGTATGTGAAAGAGCTTTAGAAACTATAAAATCCTCTATAAATGTTAATAAATAATTCTTCCATTTTCAGAAGAGAAGGATTTTAATTGAAGATGTTTCCTGATATTAAATTAAATAATATAACAACATCTAATGGCCTCAATAAATAATTGTAGAAGAACATAAACAATTATTTTGAGTCTTGAATCAGTGAGAAAGATTACTTTGGGTAATGAAAAGATATCTAATATTGTTGTTAATAAAGACAGAATATTTAGAAACATTTAGAAGCTATAACAAGTCTGGCAAATATTCTTCCCCTTTAGTCAGTGTAACTAATTAAGATACACAATGTAGAAATATTGGTAGAACTAAAACTATAATATCTATGCTTACTATCTAATACCTTTGATTTAATGGAATCCCGATGATCCTTCTGATTGTCCATGAAAAAACATTCCTGTAACATAATATTTGTATTGACCTTTGCCAACTATAATTAGAGATATAGTCCAGTGGCAATAAATACTGGTGTGTTTTATTTAATATTTTTAATTTTGTTCATATTCATTGTTAGTCTTTATTTCATGAAAAAGATGGTGGTGCCTAGGTATTTCAAATATACAGAATTTTTCCATTTTTCAACTCTGTAGGTCTTAGTGCTGGATGATTTTGTTGGAAATTGTGATGATTTTTATATTCAATCAGCCATCCAGAAAAGAATGTCCACACGGGTCTTGCTCCCTTATCTCAAACTCTTGGGGTCAGGTGTGTTTTTAGCATTTTCAGATTTTAGAAAAGTAATAGCAAGCATATACTATGTATTATGTAACCATTCCAGGAGGGTCTGGAGCATGGCCCTGTAATCAAGCACATAATTGTTTCTACAGCAAAAAAAAAAAATGAATAGTCACTTAACACTATAAATAGCCTCATGGTAGTTCAGGTCAGCTTTTGCCATCAAAATAGTTTTAGCATTAAGCTTAAACTGAGTTTTAAGAGATTTTTGGATTTTAGAACTACAGAAAGGAATTGTGGACCATATATACATCATATGGCTTGTATATAAATAACATCTGTTATAGTTGTAGACTTCTGTTGACACTGCCTTCTGGTTCTTGTTATTTTGAATCAGTCAGTCTTGTTTTCTGATACTTTTCTGCTTTCTTTGATCCAATTTCCCAAATTACCTAAGTACATATCAATAAAATTAATCTTAAAAGTATATTGGTTCTACACACTTTTATACATAACTTCTATATAATGAGTTCTTATTTTCTTTTTATTTCCGTTTTAAATTGGGGATATAGTATTACAAGAAGAAAATTCTCCAACAGACTGATTTGTAAACTTTGATGAAGAAGCTAACTCAGATAATGATGGTTTTAGTACTTGTATCTTATACTTCCACCTTTCTTACTCTAATGGTACTTTTCAATTACTAGCAAACTCTTTATTTCCCTGTACCAGGAATTTTTCTTTCTGAATGCTCTCTATTTAAAATAAATTGTTTTTTAAAACCCACAACCACTACATTCTTGTTTTGTAAATGTAATAAAGCATATAAATTAGAAGAAAGAAATCTCTTAAAACAATTTAAACTCATGGTGTTTATAAGCTCATTATATCAGCTAGTTGAATACATTAATTAACTTTAGATTACTGGAAAATGAGTAACCCCAAAATTCCAATGGTCTGTCATTTGAATACAGTTTTCACAAAATGCTAACAAATAACTTCTGACTAAGTAAATCAGATTGAATCAGAATGGTGTCAAATAAATATGACATTTTTTTTTCCCTTTCCTTATTCTTGGGGACTTATGTTTTCAAGGGGAAGCTACTCCTTTTATCTTCCATCTCCCCATCTCTTAGACACTGGCTTTGAGTTCCATGACAAATGTTGACCAAGTAGCAGAAAAGAAAAACTAGGTTGTTTCAAAAGAGGGCTGGGAAGATTTTGTATTGTTTTATTTTTTTAGACACCAGTAACTAGTAGGCAGTTAGGATTTCTTGAGTCTGGTTAAAATGATTTTGTTTGACGTTTTTAAAAGAAAACGGAAGTGAGACTCACATGACCAAGATTCCAATTCTTGCTTTCCTCCTGTGTGACCTAAGCAAATCACTTTACTCTGAGTTTCAATTTGTTCTCCAAGAAAGTATGGTTATTGAACTACTCTACCAGGTATATATTTTCTAAAACAGAAGTCAGGATACATTCTCTAAGACTGTTTGATAACTTATTAAAAGTCTTATCAAGGTTTAAAAATAAAATGATATGGTTATTTAACAAATTAATGGAAAAATTAGAATTATATTATCATGAGGGCTTATCCTGGAAAGCCCAGGATATAGTCATCTATAGTCCTTCCTTGTTCTGCAACTCTATATCCTGGTTTTTTTTTCTGTTGTTTTAAATATTGTAGATTGTAGATTAATGGAAATACCATAGTTGTTAAGTTTGTTTTAAATAATTTCCCTATTTGGTGTTTTTCTTAATACAGTTTGTATCGTGACGTTTATTTGCTTAGTAAATTGTAAATGGTATGGGAGAGACAAGCTTGATTAAAATATTCATTCTCAACGCCTTTAGAAGATGAAATGAGTAGTTGATTTATCAGAGTGCCATTCTTATGTGTTTATGATTATTTATGGTGGTGGTGTTCAGTTGGTATACACAGGATGATAACAGAAGACAAGTAAGTACTCAGTTTTCATTTTTCTATGTTCTGTTGATAATGCTTGGCCGCATTTGGTCACTGTTTAGAATTTTCAGTTATAACAATGTTTCCTTATACTGTCAGTGATATTTATTTACTTATTTACTCACTCTAGGGTCATGATCAGAGCTCCACTCTTGCTCAACACTCTGTTGAACTGACTTTACCTAATCATCATCCATTTCATAGAGACTTGCTCCGATATGCCAAGCTTATGGAGTGGCTAAAGAATACAGATTATGGGAAATACGAGGGACTAACAAAGGTATGGATTTGACGTCAATTTGACATCACTGAGTATAGAGCATAATCTTTTAGAATCAAGAGGCCATGTATTCAGTTCCCCAAGTGACATTTGAAATACTATAGTATATTCTTAGCAAAGCAGAAAATAATTGAATTTCTGAGTGCCCATTAACCAGAGAGAACATTTATTTTATTTACTTGGGTAAAGAAGAGCTGCATTTTGAATTTCAGTATAACATAGCTGGTGTTAGACCATACTGTATGTAGCCTGAAGCATCATTCATTTTAGTTAAATGCTATAATTATTTCCTGAATTTCTTTATGTGCAGCATAGAAACTAGGAAGTATGAAAATGTGTGAGTGAGGCATTTGCCTGCTAAGAATTTATAATCTGTTCTGTTAAGCAAGTGCAGAGTACCTCTTTATTAAGCAAGCATTTCACTGTTTCAGGCACATAAGGCTTAACAAAGAGGCCTCTACTCTAAAGGGCTTTATGTCTGATTGGGAAGAATAATTATACTTAAAACAATCAGCAAAGAATTAAGTGCAAAACAGAAAATTAGTTTAAATCTATGGCAGTTGAGAGAAGGGAAATCCATGTCCTGAAGCCATGGGGGAAAACTTTAGAAAAGGTGTTGGACCAGAATTGACTTTTGAGTAATGACTGGGATTAGAAAGCCAGAAATCAGAGGAGGGGCAAGATATGCAGACAAAGGTGGGAAAATATGCCCTTTTCCCGGGATAACGAAGAGGCAAGCCTGACTGAAGCAGAAATTTCATATTCTGGAGCAGAAAGAAATTATGTTGGAAAAGATGAGCCATGAGACCTAACAGCTTTCCTGACCCATGACAAAAGATTCAATGGGGAAATTAATTAAGAACCTAATGTAATCATTTAAATGAAATGAAATCTTGAACCAGGAAGGTGGTGTTAGGAATAGAGAATATAAACCAAAAGAGAGACTCAGAGGCAGGAGGGACAGGATGACGCCAAATTTCTAGGCTTGGAAATTAGAAGAGCAGTGACTGAATGTCAACAATTGGGGAAAATAAGTCATTTATTCATATACTCATTCAGCAAATGAAATGAGCACCTATTACATACTAAACTTGTTTTAAATGCTAGGGATGCAGCACTGAAGGAAACAGTCAAACACTTGCCTTCTGAGGATGCATATTTTGGTGGAGAAAGACTGACAAAAAAGTCCATTACACAGTAGGTGAAAAAGTGCTGCTGAATGCCCTGGAGAAAATAAAGCAGGGAACTCCCGGACTGGGGGAAGGTTAGAATTTCAAATAGGATGGTCCAAGGAGGCCTCATGAGAAGGTGACGTTTGAGCACAGATATTAAAAATAAGTAGGAGTGGGCCGGCCGAGTGGCGCGATGGTTAGGAACTGGCTTGGGACACCAGAGGGCCCCGGTTTGGACCCCACATGTGAGGGCCAGAGACACTGCCCTCTACAAAAAAAATAAAATTAAAAAAGAAATAAGCAGGAGTGAGCAGTGGGAGTTACTGGGGGGAAGCTTTCCAGGCCCAGCGCATGTGCCCTAAGTCAAGCCCATGTGCTTGAGGAGCAGTGAGGAGGCCTGTGTGGTTGGACCACAGTGAGCAAGGGACAGGACCTTAGAAGGACAGGTGGCAGAGGCAGGATGGGGCGAAGCAGGGCAGACCTGGAAGGGACTGTGCACCCTTGTAAGAATTTGGCTTTTACTGTGAGGGAGATGGGGGAAAGGCGGTGTTCGTCGGCTTTGAGCAGTGGAATGACATGATCTGACTTAAATTTAATAAATAGCCATTGTAGCAGGAAGCCATGGGTACCATACTTTTCTGGCATTTATGCTGTGACCTTTGGTATTGGAATTGACCTTGTCACTTAGGAAGGTAAAGAATTGCTAGCTAATGCAAATATATAAATGGTTATATATTGAATATAAGAGTAGTTCAGTTAAAATTCTGAAGTACTGTGAAAAACATTTAGAATATTTTATCTATAAGTTTTGGTGCATTTGGAGTTTAAAATAAAAAAAGTCCAAGTAATGTATAAGGTATTTTAATAACTACTAATAATTTAATTATGTGGACAGCATGACCTTAAAAGATGTTCTTGAATTGGAAAGAAGGATGTGTTTCGTCTGTGTGGAGCGAGAATATGGGAATTGTTAATGTAAAGGCTCTTCCCCTCCACCATGTGCTTGTGACCTAAAATTTCCTGATGAAGAATTTAGATAGCAAAATAATCTTATTTTTTGATAATTTTGCTATCAAAAATTTTTCTAGTTGCTGCCTACTTTTATTCAGAACATGGTGCTCTCACAATATTTTATAAGTGAAGATTATTCTTTCCCAGAGAATTAATGTTTTTACATGAACCCATTTTATCTTTATACTTACTGAAATAATTATTGCAACTCCTATCCAGTATCATTGGTTCATGCTTCATGAGAAGGCAGAGGGTTAGGTAGAAATTTATAAGTGTGATGATAATAAAAAGGCAGATTGTCCACTCTTACCAATCTATTAATATCAGCATTTTTGGCAATAGGTCATTTTATGTATCAGCGTTCACGTATTTTCTCTTCAGAGTGACTTTGCCCATTTAAAGTAACATCTGGCTTCTACTCCTAAACTGAGATCATAAGAAAGGGGACATAAACCTTGGTAAAATAAATAATATTTATAAATTATAACAAAAAATTCTTTTCAAAAAGAATGTAAGTATCCTGAGGGGTTTATAAACATCTTATCTGGCTAGCCATTTTAGGTAAAATTATTTTTATTCCTCAGAATTAGTCTTTTAAGTGTTATGCAACTCTACTGTTGCGTTATATTTTGTTTTGTTTTGTTTTCATTCAACAGAATTCTGATTTGGAGATACCTTAAGGAAAAATATTTACATTATTGGAATTCTTTGCCTTTTTAAGTTTTAGGAGGATTAATATTTTGAATAATTAAACATTATTATAGCTCCTTAAGAGTTTTGTGCTAACAAGTGCTTTGTCCCCTAGTGAATATTCAAATAAGTAATCAATAAGCTTTTTGCCTAATTGTGTTCTCAGTGAGTATTATTGCCTTATCTTTATATATAATGCAGTATTCATGAATGTAATTTAAAGTGAAGAAGCAAGACTACGGCCAATCTAGTGATGATTTATGGAATCATTCTCTGATCACAGTATATTTTGGATTGACAATATTAATGAGCTTTTAAAAATGAAGTTGACTTATTTCCCAAGAATGTTACTTGATCCCGTGGTTTGAACTTTTGACAGACTATGTATTTTACCTCATAATCTAATTTGGTTGCTGAAATGTTGCCAAAAACAGGAAGTTTATTAAAAAAGAAGAAGGAAGAAAGGAATGAAAGAAGAAAAGAAAGAAGGAAATACAAACCAGCATTTCTTTAATAAAAAAATTTTTAAAAAGTAAATAATAATAATAATAATTAAATCCAGACACTGTTTGCACTTGGTTGGGTGTCCACAGCTCAACACTTTTTGGTGGGGACATGAAAAGCCTGTTTCACATTCTTTAGAAATAAGAATCACTAGGCACTGCTGCAACTTATTTTGACTGATTCTAAGCAAAGTCCTGATTCTTGGTAAACATAAATAGAGCCTATGGAAAACATGGGTGCCTTGGTCATGTAATAAGCTCAACTGCCCAGATTCCCTCCTTCCCAGGATTACGACCCCTATCTGTGGCTCTGGGTCATCCATGTACGACAATTAATAATAGAGATGGTCCATCCACGCTTGGGTAGGAAATGAGCTTTCCTCTTATAACCTCCTTAGGTTGACAGTCAGTCTTGAAGATTGACATCTTCCCTTCAACCACAGGTTTACGTTTTTGGAATTTGCGTGTTTTGGTTAAAGAAAAAGTAAAACATGGAGGTCTCCATAAAACTCTACAGCCAGCACAAAATAAAGCTGAAAAGACTGCCTCAGATAATATATAAACACATGATAGTTAAATTTTATGTTAGGTGCTGTATGCAAGATGCTAAGAGGAATACTACTCACAGTGAGAGAGATCTTGCAGAATTTGGTCGAATGAATGAACTGATAATCACACAGGGCTGCGTTGCCTTTTCCATGAGCGAGCCCTACTGAGTACCTTGGGAAGAGATAGCCCGTCATTTAAGTCCCATTGAAAAAGGAGATGCTTTTCAATAGTCTTCTCAAGTCACTATTTTCTAGATATCAAAATAGCTGTTTTGAAATTGTTTAAATTGCGTGGGTAGTAATGTGCACTTTAAACTATTTGGATATTGGAATGTAGTCTCTTATATTGAGTGATTTGAGTAGAAACCACTGATGAAGATTTTACAAATTATGCAAAGCTAATTTCCTGTCAGTCATTTACAGATTTGCAGTGATCAGTATTTCTATGAGAATTTGAAAAGTGAGACATTGAAAAAGTGCAACAGCCCAATAAAGTAGGAGTTAACTTTAGGGTATATTTTAATTTATATTTGCTTTTAAAGTTATGGAAAGATTGTGGGAAAGAATTGCCCATTTCAGTAACTTTTCTTACAGAGACAGTGTGGGAAATGTATATGGCCTACAAATTGAAAAAAAGCAGAATCTATATTATGTTTCTTCCAATTACTGTTTTATAAAGATAGATGTATAAAATACCTAAGAAGTTCTGTGGTGAACTATAAATCAATATATAGATGTTTACATAATATACCTTTTGATGTTTAAAGCAAGGTAAACCTGTTCTAAAACTGGATTTATTAATTTGATATAATAAAGGAAGTTGAAGCTTGATTCCATGATAAACTTAAAACAATAGTTAGGTACAGTTTTTCTGCTGTGGATTTATTTATATTTAGTCAAACTGCATATAACATTTAATTTAGTACTTGGAAAAAAAATACTCTTTGGCTTCCCACTGTTGAAGAATCCTTCCTGAGGGTATAAAATATTTTTATGTGATGATGAGCAGATATGAAGGAATGAGTTTGTATGCTAAATAATAGATGTTTTCATTTGAGCTAGAATAAATTTGTTTATAAGAAAATTAATTATGAAAACTGTGAGATGTACTAATTAAATCTTATTGAAAATAACCTATTTTGGGGCACTACCCCAAGCTGACCCAGTGCAGTGAGACTGAATGTACTCCTGCATTGCCAGTGACACCATCTATTGGTTTAGTCATTTTTTTGTTTGTTTTTTTAGCTGAGCCATCCCGCCACCTGTTGGCAGCTCAATGTTAGCTCAGCTGGGGTCGGGACTCGAACCGCTGTTGCTCAGAGCTTGCACTCTTGAGCCAGCTCTTAACCAACTGAGCCACTCGCCAGCCCCCGGTTTAGTAATTTGTAAAGCAACATGGCAGTATGGAGGAAGTTATTAAGATTCCCATACTCTTTGGCCTATAATTCCACCCTTAGGAAATTATTCCAAGGAAACAATTCATTAGAGATTAAAAGCTTATTGTAACACTGTCTATCATAGCAAAACATTGAAATCACTTAAGTGACTTATGTTAGGCAGTTCGTTTACTAAACTGGGGTACATCAACAAAGTATAATACTTGACAATCATTAAGGTGTAAGACTGGAAAAATGTCATTGCTCTGACTCAAATATCTATACAGTGTAATTACAACTATATTTTAAAATATGTGAACATTAATATAGAAAAATGAAACTATAAGTATGATTATGTTCCAGTTCACATTTTTGTAAATTTCATAATTTTGTAAATTATGATGCCTGTTTAATTTTTTTTAAAGACAGAAAATAGCCTACTTTTTGTATCCTATGAAATCCATCAAAATTTTAGATCACAAAATTTAAAAGAAGCACAAAGGACATGGGGGGGATTGAAAAATGGAAATTGTTATATTTGTTTTATTAATAAGTACATGTACTTTTATTTAAGAATTACATGGATTATTTATCACGACTGTATGAGAGAGAAATTAAAGATTTCTTTGAAGTTGCAAAGATCAAGATGACTGGCACAACTAAAGAGAGCAAGAAGTTTGGTAAGCTTAGGCATCTCTCAGTTCATTGTTTTCTATTAAAAATGGTTTTATTTATGACAACTAAGCAAGGAGGAAGAAGATACAGGAGAATTAATGAAAGAGTAAGTCTGATGCATTGGTTTGATTTATAGGTATTTCATAGAAGAAATGTAATTTTTTTTTACTAATTAAAATTCTGCAGTATGTGAATCTGACAGCAATTGTATATTTATGCCATAATTAAAAATATATATTCATAAGAAAAGCAGTTGGCCAGAAAATGAAGCGCAGTATAGCAGAGAAAGTATTAGACTAAGAGAGAGACATGTTGAGAGTTCAGTTTCTGACTTCCTAAAGACCTTTTTTAACAGTTGTGGGCAAATCACTGATCTCTTTCTTAAGTCATTGCCCTCCACAGGGAAATGAAAATGATTCCTGGCTTCTTACTTCTCACTGGCTATTTTGAATCGAAAAGAAAGTTTTTTTCTCCCCTGCCACGGAGCTATAAATATGTCACCCAAATTTCTCCTGTGATTATACATTCTTTTTCCAAAGAGAAATTTTTGAAGTATGTTATTTTTTGTTGCGTCTAGATCTGTTAAATGGACAAAAACAAAAACAAAAAAACACTGTGATTTGAAAGGATAGCCAGTGAAAGTATCAAGTGAGGAAGGTGATTTGCCGAGGCCACATTCTGCTCTTGCATGTACCCATCTCTGGAGTTCCTTTTGGATGGAGTTCTGTGCCTAGCAAGTCAAACCTGGCCTTAAGTGGCTACAATGTGTACTCCTCAGTGTGTCTGCATAGCTCCCTTTAGAATAATGAGTTTAGCATTTGCTTGTTGAAAGGAGCCTATGCCCTAAGCTACTTCAGTAATCAGGAAAAGGTTGAAATTGATAGCTCATCTTTCCATTCTTTTCTTTAGGACAAAGAAGACTGTCTTTAGTGGGTAATTATTTTGTAATTCTCTGGTTGGTTGGTTGGTTTTTTTTTTTAATACAGCACTAATATATTGATATACTAGTCCAGACTTTTGAAATGGTTTGAATCTGTGTATAAATTTGTAACACTTAGGTAAAGATACTGACAAGAATCTTGGGACAATAGGCTTTTGGAAACAGAAATGCTAACTCATCCTAAAGGTTAATTGTTCTTAAACAGCAGTGTGTTTATATCCTTGTTAATGTTTCACTGTGGATATGTTATGTTTTTGGTTTTCTTTAGTAAACAGCATATTAATGCAGTTACATGTTTAATGTTTTCATTTAGTATATTTGTCACCACTTGTTAGTGAACCATTTTATTTTGAGAGAACTCTTCTACAGTGTATGAAAACTGGAGGTAAAGGGAAATCTTTCTAAAATTATCTCTCCTCATTAATCCCAGTATCATAATAGTTTTATCAAGCCTAAGTTAATTCACATTGAGATAAATGATGTAATAAAAATATAATTTAAATCAAGTATAATAGAATCTTAATGGAATTGCATTAAACTGAAACCTAATTTTTTCATTTTCTTAGTCCTTGAAAAGTTCTTAAATTATCTTGTTGAAAATATTTTTAAGTTAACACAATACAAGGGGGCAGCCAGTTAGCTCAGCTGGTTAGAACACAGTGCTCACAACACCAAGGTTGCTGGTTTGATCCCTACATGGGCCGCTGAGCTGGGTCCTCCACAACTAGATTGAAACAACTACTCAACTTGGTGCTGATAGGTCCTGAAAAAACACACTGTTCCTCAATTAAAAACAAAAAAGAAAGAAAGAAAAAAAAAAGGACTAATTAAAAAAAAAATTAACAAAATACAAGTGTAACTGTAGAAGGCGTTTTTATAGTTTTAAGACTTAAATTTACATTCTCTATTAAATAATAACAACTAAGGGAGTACTTTGTGATAGTTGATGGTACCAGAAAA